TTGTAACTTGTCCCGCGCAGAAATATATCTGCTCCGGTTGCTCCGTGAACGGACGACCACCAGTCCTGGATATAACTTTACTCTCTCTCTCTCTCTTTCTCTCTATGGTGATACGTATTTCGAAAAGCTGGGCGATTCCGCTGGCTAGTTAGCTGCGTTACTGCGTGGCGCATTGTTTTTCCGCGATAATAGCGACTCCTTTGTCTCGTCGGTGGTGGGTGGAAATGAGTGAATTAGGGAGAGATAAGGGAATGTGGTGGTAGTCGAAAAAGTGGAATTTTCAGGATTTGAGGAGGAATTTTGCGAAGGTCCTTGTGTGAAATTTTGGGAATTTTTGTAAGCGTATACTTACTATGCACGATCCAGAATTTAATATTCTTTATTTTCGTAGTGGGTTTCTGAATTTTTTTGAGGTCTTTAAATATTTGGACTTTTGTCTACGGTGGTTCCAGGGGAAAACTGAGTCAAAATTTTTAATTTTAAGTAAAAAACTTTGATGCTTTCAGTTTGCTTTAATTTTAAGTGAAAAACATGATCAAAAATTTAATATTCTTCGTTTTCATAATGCCTTTCTGTATCTTTTCAGGAATATCAAATATTCTCCGGACTTGGATCCAAAGAGGAGTACGAACTTTGATCATTCGTCCCCAATAAAAATTTCTATTTCTTCCTCACACTAAACTACACCTCGACAACTTTCCCCAAACTCTATCACAACCTTCTATACTCCTCAAATTCAATTCGCAACGAATTACGATCATTCCTCGCCCACACTCTTCCTTCCCGTATCACTAACGAACGCAGAATAATTTCACTCCGAAGCGACCGAAGATAAAATTGTTCTCCGCGAAGAAACGGGCAAGCAACAGCGAGAAATGCAAATGGCCGTCCCTCGGAGTCATGCATACGGCAGTGAAACGCATAGCCGCCGGTTAATGCAGTCCTCGAATAGAAGACGGTCTTGCGCGATCGATTATGCATAACGGCGAAATGCCAGTTGCATTCTAATCGCGTCGTACCATCGAGCATCCTGGCTGGGTTGTCTGCGAAGTAGTTAGTCCTGGAATCTTCCACTCGCGACTATATAGGCTCGATCGAGTTTAGAAAAATTCGCTTGGAATAAAACAGGAAGTAAGGATCGTAACGATGCGTGACCATGGTTTCGTCATTCACGTGCTCGCTGTACACCGATCGAGCAAGGAGATTTATAAATCTCTATTATCGCCGAGGCGTGGTTTAACCAGCGTCGCGGCTAATACTACTCTATTGCCGGCATTAGAGTTATAAATCCGTTGTCGGGGCACAAAAGGCGGCGTAGTCCACGCGGGATAATCCCGTAATCACGCGATACGAATGAATTTAAGGAGGAGATCTGAATAAGCCCTTATTATAACGCCGTCTTTTTACGACGCCTGGCAGAAGTCGCTGGAGGGTTGCGTGGACGTTTCTTCCGGTCATTTTTATGGCCGTGAAAGCTGGGATGCGGGGGTAATATACTTGGAACGTGGAAAATAGGTAAGGAGATTTTTCGTTTATCTCGGAGAATATTTAGGGTGGTGAGTGCGCAATTTGCGGTCGACCGAGTGTCCAAAAGAACGAGAGATCAGTTCACTGCACGGTCATTTTTATACACTTATGTGAAAATTTGGAGAACGAGTAAGATACTTGAAATGAGGAATATTTGTTCTTTGGTTCTACGATTTTTCGTAGATTTCTGGAAGAATACCTTGCACAGTTTCCATTTTCATTCGATCGAGTGTCAAAAAATCGAGAGATAAGTTCACTACACTGACGTTTCTTTTTATGTACTTGTGTGAAAACTTGGAGAAGGAGTAATATACTCGAAACGGGGAAAATTTTTCGCCTCGAAGATTTTTCGTGGAATTTTAATAGTAGGCATTTAAACGTTCGCTACATAAGGTAGAAACTACGCAATTTCCATCTTCACTCGATGGAGTCTACAAAAAATCACGAGATAAGTTCACTGTACGCTCATTTTTACGTACTTATGTGAAAACTTGGAGATCGAGTAATATTCCTAAAATGTAGAATATTTATTCTTCACCTCGAGGATTTCTCCTAGATTTCTAAAAGAAAATGTTGCACAATTTCCATCTTGGTTCGACGAAGTCTTCGAAAAGATCAAGGGATCAGTTCACTGTACCCTGTTTGAACGTCAAAGTTCCCATGAAATCGACGTTAATTAAGAGAGAGGGGCAAGGCGGTAAGACGTTTGTACGCGCCACTACCAAGAATTCATCGTGATCGAGCTGCTACGAGCTAGTAACACACCCCTAAGGTAGCCTTTTTCTTCGTGGTTCCTCGCTAGAGTTGTTTGATTACTCTCTTTAACGCGGCGGCACCTTTGCCAGCACGCTTCGTTACAGCGGAACGAGTTGGAATAATATTATAAAAGTACGGAGCAAGGATTCCTGTGGCGGTTCGACCGATACCGTACGGACCCCGGGGGAAACGACAATTGCTTTGATTCATGCAACTATGTGGCTGTTTCCGACGCGATGGATACGGTACTAAAGACCACCTGTGACGATCAAAATGAACGTACTTTCTGCAACTTTGTGCGATCAAACAGGTAATTAAAAGGAAGAAGAATATTTTACGCTCCTGAAAGACGATTTTTATTTAAATTCAAAAAATATCATCTACTCCTTTATGTAGTTACATTTCATTCATTTTGAATCGACAGCAATTAAGCTTCTTTTCTTATTAGGAGATTATGTCACGAGTTCGCTATATTTTCATATTTCTTCTCTCACAAATATTGGAATTTTCAAAAAAGAAATGAAATTTCTAAAAATAAAATAAGTTTCTAATTAAATTAAATCACTTAGCTAATATTTGAACTTGCAATAATGGTAAACATTATTAAATCTAAATCTTCAGACCTGCAAGTGAAGTGTTTTGTGGAAATTATGACATTATGAAAAAGACATATCTACCGTCAACTGCACAGCTTTCAATCGACATAGACACTTTTGCACAGGAGATCACAACTTGCAGAAGTGTTTGAATTTTCTGTTTTCCCCTATTCGTCGATTCTTTTTCCCCGCGTTGTAATTTCTCGCGAGCGAATCCCTTCGTTCCTGGGCTACGTCGAACCCGATCGTTAACAGAAGCGGCGGGATAATCGTTGCAGATAACCATATTCCGGTTTTGCGGCTAATTGAACCGCTGATTGATGTATTATCTTCCGGACGAATCGTTGCGCGGCTCGATTACCATTTGATCGGTTTCATCGATGGGCGTGCGAGGCACCGCCGAGCGGTGAAAATATTTTTAACGATTCTACGTTTGCACAGACCGCCATTCCCGTGTCCATCGAGAGACACTTCATTAGCATCCGTTTATTTACCATAGAAATAACATCGCCGTGTTTCTTTGATCGTAGGCTTCGGGGATAACGAGGGCCGACAGTTGGTGAACACCGTGACGATTCGATCGATTGCTACTTTACACGAAACGCGGCAATATTTGATAGGAACCAGAGGAAAGATAAATTTCGAAATCGTACATAGATCTCTGAAATGTTCGCGAAAAGAGGTCTCAGTTAACTCGATCTAATCCAATTAGACCAAAGCAAATAAACTTCTCTCTTTCGTCGAATCGAAGCTTCGCTGTTAACAAAAGATAAATTTCGAAAGCACACACAGTCACTCCAAACCTCCAGCAAAAAGAAATATTGGAATCTTTCCAAAAGAAAGTCATTTCATTCGTCACACTTAACTCTATCCAACCTAATTAGACGAAATCAAATAAATTCCTCCCTTCCATCGCGCAAGAGCCTCACTCTCAACGAAATGTTACAATATTCGACAGGAAGTAGACGAAAGATGAACTTCAAAATCATATACCGTCTCTCAGAATTACACACAAACAAAAATACTCAAGCATTCCCAAAAGAAAGTCATCTCGTTCACCTCACTTAACCTCGTCTAACCCAATTAAACTCGCAATCAAACAAACGTCCCTCCCTCCATCCCTCGAAATTCAATCTCGTCAAACGAGACGTCACTCTCTCCTCGACTCTTTCTCCCGCTTTCTCGCGAACTCCATAAAAATTTCCCGACGATCTTAGCCCGCCGGAATGCGGGTTTCCCGCGCAGGGAAAAAACTGCGGGGCGCATTGTCGAGCCACTCGTGATGCTTATTTCGCAGCCACTCTCGCGGAGCGTCTCTCGAGCTGTGCTCGTCTCGCGAGAGGAGCATTGAATCGGAGGAGCGAGCTCATCCCCCACGGGGGTTGTGCACACGGACGAGAGGCTGGCGCGAGCTTGTACGCGGGCGAAAGAGGGCCGCACTTTGCATTTTTATTGGCACATTACGTTCGCCGCGCCTCGCCACTGTAAGCAAGCGTCAAAACCGTCTTCGTTCGCGGATACGTGCCAGCACGAGTGGCGGGACGATTCCCAGGGCGAGTCTTATTGGAAATTTCACCGATAACCGGTGCTCCATTAAGGGGCGGCCACGCGAGCAACCGAGCGAGCGGGCAGAACCGGGAACCGCGCGGGTTTCTGCATTAGATGCACGAATTAATGGATCGACATGCCTCCTCACGTCTGATGGATTCGTTTACCTGTAGATTGCAGCTAGAAGATAGGGGGAGCTCGGTCTGCTGCAACCGTTTCCTACCGCGATTCGTCTTTCTGGGATGAAAGTGTCCGGGAAGAGGTTCCTTGGAGAATGAGATCGCTCGGAGAAGAGGTTAATTGGCCGGTGATGAAGAGCGTGTTAACCCTTTCGCTGTTGATTGAAACGACGCGTACCTCTTTTATGTTTGAAGACACTTCGAAATATTACAAATCTTACAAAGAAAAGATGGTCATATGTGGATTTTTCATGTAATTGTTTAGTTATTGATTAATACGTACCTGCTTCTTGTGTGGTATATTTTAAAACAAGGAATACATAGCCCCACGTCTCAGTCTGGACACTACAAGTGCCGAATATCTTCCTCAACGTGCTCAAATTCGTACTCAACAGCGAAGGGGTTAATCTTAAGTGGTCAGGTTAGACTTCACTTTTCTTTAACCCCTTAACGCTCGCATTTTTCTCAACTCGACGTACTAAATAAGGTCAATTTTGTCAAGTCAGGTCAGGTCAGTTTTGTGAAAGAAAATAGTTTTAAAAAAGTGCACTTATTGGGCACGTGTGAGTCACGGGTGTGAGGGTTTTCAGTTTAAACAGTGTTTCGTCCGATAATTTAAAAAAAACTATATTTACTCCGTCGTTGACTACGCGGCTCAATTTACTCTCCTGCAATCCTTACAATTCTTACAATTTTTATAGTTCTTATGTTTCTGCCCGGTAGTGCTCCTAACGCGTCCTTATATGCCGGCTTTGACGCCCCTCTCCTGCCTTCGGGAAACCCTGGCGCAAGTTGGGGGTTTCTACCCGGCAAGGACCGCGAGCACGTGGCTGGGTCCTTCCTGACCCAGCCCTTAGCGCGCGCGGGAGTCAGGCGTTGGGACCGGGTTCCTCCGCAGACCGAGAGGTCATAAACCGGCCCGAGTCCCTACCTTCACTCAACCATATTCTTACACAGGCATGAACGTTAAGGGGTTAATAACAACGAGTATTTGCCGATACTGAAGCCTATTATTACCAGCTTCATCAGCACGCGATAACCTACGCAACCTTCTCGAATAAAACAGCCGTCACAAGTAGAACCGGCCTCTCTACCACAGAGGCAAGAAGAACGATTCAGAGACACGGCACAAGACTCGTAGTTTGACCCAATTTAAATAACGAACCCTATTACAACGAGCAAAAAAGAAAAGAGAAGAAAAAAGCGAATCCTTCGTTCTCCGGTTCTCCACAAAACTGCACGCCATTTCTTTATGACATCGTTTCACCGTACAAAATTGCTCGCACAGTGTGTCCTGAAAAAATGACGTTGGCCTGCATCGAGCATAACAATCTTAACCGTTTCCACGATATACACTACTTACCGTTTAATACGAACACATTTGCCCCGCTGACGTTTTATTAAGCCGCATCGTTCGTTCCACAAGAGGGATGTACAAGTAATTTCGATTCGGCGCGGAACGAAGCGGCGGCACCGGTGAACCAGCCGAACCGGAGAGAGAGAAATGTTTGCTCTTCGCGAGACTTGACGAGTAATTTACTGTCACAACTTACTCCGGGACACAATAACGCGCGCTTTGTTCACGAAGGATTAATTATATACCGGGTCCCGTATCACGTCCAGGTGGACGTCCGACGTGTCTGTAAACGACAGCCGTCGTATTTTCATTTCGAACGAACCTAACGACGCGACCGCAGCCAACCGCCGGCGAGCCCCGCTATCGTTACGCCCAAAATATCGTTTCATTCGCTGAATTATCCGTGATTCCCGGCGATATTGCGCGTCGAGCGGTTGATACGCGGTAAATGAAAATTCCATCGGTTGATTAGGAGCCTGTGAATAAACGGATTAAACGAAATATTGAAAATGTATTTCTAATTTTACGGTAGAGATGGTCCGACGGAAAATCGCCGGAGCGTCAATTGTCGAACTGGGATATATTTCGACTATTGCGATCTTTTCCAATGTTCGTTCCTCGAGAAACGAGTAGGCCCTTTTCGCGAGGACTCGAGTAAGCGTGGTATTTTTAAGATAGTTTAACGGTCACGGGGAAAATCCAGGTGTGTGTATGTGTGGTGGGAGTGTGGATGTGGGGTAAGATTCGAAATCATAGTTGACGTAGACATCTAATTTTTATTTTATTTCTTTACTTTCCTTAATGAACTATTATTACTACTATTTTAACCCTTGCACTGCTATCGGCGACTACAGGCGCTTTCAAAATTTGTTCGCACTGTGCTATTGGAGCCTTTCGGCGCCCTTCTGTATTAATTCAAGCCTTAATTTTCGATGCTATATATAATATATT